CAGGTTAGGGCTGGGGCTTGCCCACCCACCTTACAGAACCAGCAAGGGGTGAGGAAGGAGGCCCAGTGATCTAGGATCACCTCCCTCTTAACTTCCACACTGCATTTCAATAGAAAAGGCTGGCTGACTGGCGTCTCCTAAATCACCTTCCTGTAAGATAGCAGGCATGGTAGGGGGGAATCTCTCCAGAAGACCCTGTTTTTACTTAAACAAGATCAAACCCCCACCCCACTCCTCTGTCTGGAGACCAGAAACCTTTCACATGTAATTCCTAAAGCTGTAAACCCAAGACCCTTTCATATGTGATTTCTCAAGCTATAAACCCAAGACCCTTTCACTTGCAATTTCTAAGGCTGTAAACCTAAGATCCTTTCACATGTAATATCTAGACTGTAAGCCTATATAAAGGCAGTGCTTCTCTTTGTTAGGGGAACTTGGCCATTTGGACAAAACATAAAACCTTGCTCCCAGGCAGTAATAATAAAACCTCTTCCTTTTCTAGTTCAGTGTCCGAGAGGTCTGTTTCTCACGGCCTGTCCCGCTTCAGTGGGAAGCTTAGAAGTGGGAATACAAACCAATTAGGAGCAACCTCTTTTCATTTCTTGTTTTCTGGGGTGGATTAGCTGGGGTAAAGGGATGCCTAGAAGTGAGAGGGTATAATCCACCAGCCCTGAGAAGTGAGTTCTAGATCAGAAGTTCACAAACTACAATTGTCCTTGTTATATCCCTATGGTAGGCAGATTAATGCTGCCCCACTAACCCCTAAAGAATTCTGTATCCTAACCTGTGAATATGTTGTCTTACATGGCAAAAGAGCCTTTGCAAATGTGTTTAAACCAGGCATCTTGAGACAGAGAGATTATCCTGGATTAAATGGGTGGGCTGTATGTAATCCCAAGGCATTGTAAAGAGGAAGGTGGGAGGGTCAGAGTCACAAAGGGAGTGTGGCTGTGGTGGAAGAGTTAAGACAAAGAGTGAGAAAAAGAGGAGGGAGGTATTGATTTGAAGACGCTAAAGCTGCTGGCCTTGAGATGGAGGGAGGGACTGCAAACCAAGGACTCCAGGTGGCCTCTAGAAGCAAGAAAGGCAAGGCAATGGGTTCTCTGCTAGAGCCTCCAAAAGGAACACAGGCCTGCTGACACCCTGATTTTAGAACTCCTGGCCTCCAGAACTGCAAAGTAATAAATTTGCTTTTCTTTTCTTTTATTTTATTTATTATATTTTGAGACAGGGTCTCACTCCCATGCCCAAGCTGAAGTGCAGTGGTGTGATCAAAACTCACTGCAGCCTCAAATCCCAGGCTCAAGTGATCTTCCCACGTCAGCCTACCAAGTAGCTGGGACCACTGATATATGCCACCACACCTGGCTAATTTTTATTTTTATTTTAGTAGAGTCAGAGTTGTGCCATGTTGCCCTAGCTAGTTTTGAACTCCTGGGCTCAAGGCATCCTCCCGACTCAGCTTCCCAAAGTGTTGGGATTACAGGTGTGAGCCCCGTGCCCAGACAATTTTGTGTTGTTTTAAGCCACTAAACATGAGGTAATTTGTTAGAGCAGCAGTAGGAAAGGAATATACCCTTGCTGTGGCCAGCTGAGAGACTCTACCCACAGACACATCTATATCTGATTGAGGCACGCACTGACACATCTGTATCTGATTGAGGGCTAGGAGTGAATCTTTTGACCTTTACATCAAAACCTACTAAGAAGCTCTATCACATTGTTGTCAGACTCTCACTTGCAATGATTAGAAAGTCTTCTGGTAAAATAAAACAGCCACTGCAGTGACCCCCATGGCTTCCAAATTCCCAAATGGCCAACCATTTGAGATCCAGAACCACTATTATTCACTATTATTTAATATGGAACCACCATATTCACCTGAGGGCTCAACTATCATTTGACCTTCCAGGTCCTGTCAAAGAGAATCTTTAATTTAAATGAAAAATAACTGTATTACTTCTCTTATTACCAAATGAATACAAGTAAAGACATCAGAAAATGCAGACAAGCAAAAAGAAAAAACATCATTAACAAAGATAATATTCTGTCTCACTGAGATAACCACTAACACCATCATTATCTTTCCAGCACTTTAAAAATAACTCTAGGCCAGGCTTGGTGGCTCTATCCTGTAATCCCAGCACTTTGGGAGTCCGAGGCAGGCAGAACACAAGGAGTTGGAGACCGACCTGACCAAGAAAGTAAAACCCTGTCTCTACTAAAAATACAAAAAATTAGCCAAGTGTGGTGGTGTGCGCCTGTAATCCCAGCTACTCAGGAGGCTGAAGCAGGAGAATCACATGAACCTGGGAGGCAGAGGTTGCAGTGAGCCGACGTCATTCATTGCACTCCCGCCTGGGCGACAGTGCAAGACTCTGTCTCAAAAACAACAACAACAAAAATCCCTATATACAATTTTTAAAATTAATTATTCAAAAACTATACAGTACTTTTAAATTTTTTATATATGATGCATATCTTTCATTGTCGAAATATTCATTTGCAACATTAATTGTCATAGTGTGATCTGGGGACTGCTAGGGAGGGGGTTTAAAGACATTTTCAAGGGATTGTGAGCTCAAAATTATTTTAATTTTAATTCTAAGGCATTATTTGCCTTTCTCACCCTCATTCTCTCACAAGTAAAGACTACATAATACAAGATACTGCAACAGTTTTGAATACAGAAGCAGTAAAAACAGTGGCTTTCTTTCTTTCTTTCTTTTTTTGACGGAGTTTCGCTCTTATTGCCCAGGTAACAAGAGTGCAACGGTGCGATCTCAGCTCACCGCAACTTTCGCCTCCCGGGTTCAAGCAACTCTCCTGCCTCAGCCTCCTAAGTAGCTGGGACTACAGGCGTGCGCCACCATGCCCAGCTAATTTTTATATTTTTAGTAGAGACGGGGTTTCACCATGTTGACCGGGATGGTCTCCATCTCCTAACCTCGTGATCCTCCCGCCTCGGCCTCCCAAAGTGCTGGGATTACAGGCGTGAGCCACCACGCCCACCCCCCTCTTTTTTCTTTTTTTAAATCCCAGTAATAATGAATTTGATTGCTAAACAGGGCTTTCTATTAAGTTTGAAATTAAAGGGAATAGCAAAAATCTAAAACCACGCTGCTCTGCCTTCTATTTAAAAATATATATTTATTTTTCATAAAATATTTGTTACCATATACCGTTTGTTATTTTTAGATACAATGAATATGTAAAAAAATTGTTTTAATTTTATAAGTATTAACAGATGTTGCACAAAACCTCTTTGGAGTGCTCCATAATTTTCAAGAGTGTAAAAAGATTCTGAGACCAAAAAGTTTGAGAACGTTTGATCTGCAGTATTATTTTTAATGGCTGAATTAGTCCATTGATCAGAAGTTTCCTAATTCACTTAACGAGTATGTAATGCCAAGAATAAGATTCTTATACTTAAATTCAGGTATACCTTAATTATTTCTCTAGGATAATTTTCAAGGACGATTTTGTTTTATTTGTTTCGTTTTTTAAAATTGCATTTTAGGTTTTGGGGTACATGTGAAGAACATGCAAGATTGTTGCATAGGTACACACATGGCAGTGTGATGTGCTGCCTTCCTCCCCTTCACCTATATCTGGCATTTCTTCCCATGCTATCTCTCCCCAGTCAAGGATGATTTTTAAAACCTATATTTATTGTACAAAAATGGGTTAGCATTGGTGGCTGCAATCCACAGCCAATCAGCTGTTTTCATTCTTTCTGTTTCCTTCCAGTCAACAAAGTGGGGTGGAAGGCATTTACGACTTATTAGCATAAGGGTTTGAGACTAGGTCAACATTTCCAAGAGAAGGTGCTCCGTGGACGGTCTGGTCTAGTGGGCTCTAACTTATTCACCCTGGAATGTTCTTTAAAAAGCAAATTCTGGCCAGGAACTATGGTCCACACCTGTCATCCCAACGATTTAGGAGTCTGAGGTGGGAGGATCGCTTGAGCCCTGAAGTTTGAGCCTAGCTTGAGCAACATAGCGAGACCTCCATGTCTACAAAAAGATAAAATATTAGCCGGGCGTGGTGGTGCGCGCCTGTAGCCCCAGTTACTGGGGAGGCTGAGGCAGGAGGATCGCTTGAACCCGGGAGGTGGGGGCTGCAGCGAGCCCTGATGCTGTTACTGCCCTGGGGCCTGGTGACAGAGTGAGATCTTGTCTCAAAAGAAGAAGAAAAAAATAAAAATAAAAAAGCAACCCAGAATTGTGGGAAAGAACTGAGTGCCCTTCTCAGTGTTTTTAACCTACGTGCTAACCGCGCCCTTTCTACCCGAGCTTCGCCACCTCCGCGCCTGGATCCACTGCGACCCCTCCTCTCTATTGCAGATGCAAAGGTCAGCGCCAGGAACTCACTAAGAGCTCGGCAATTTTAATGAATTGGTGAACGAAATTCCGAAAGCTCTGCCCTCCGAGATCCTTATTCAGTAGGTCTGAGGTAGATCTCAGAAACCCGAATTTTAAATAAATCCTACCTCTGACGGCAGACAACAAGGGTTCAACGTGCCAGCTCTCGGCGACGCGCAAATCTACTTAGCGCCCAGAGCCTCGGCCTTGCATCACTAGAACCGGGCCCTGGCCGCTTCCTAGAACAGGGCAGCTGCGAGGAGTCCTGAGGAATTTTTACCACACTGCACATCCTCAGCGTAGTAGTTAGCACATTACAAGGCTTTAATCGTGAGTCACTGTTGATCTTAACACTGCAACAGAAGGGAATTGGAGAGTGGGCTTGACAGGAGGGTCTGCCGGAACCCGAGGGACCCGGTATCCCGACGCGGAGAAGCGCGAAGGGAAATCGCGCCGGGTAGCCGGGGTGGGCGCGCCTGGGGGCGTGGCCGGCGGGCGGGAGGGCCTGAGATCGCCGTAGAGGCGTGGCAGGAGGGAGGGGCGGGACCGGGGGCGTTGGGGGCGTGGCGTGAGGGAAGGCGGGGAGTGGACGGGGCCGAGGTAGGGGCGTGCGCACTGACAGGAGCGCCGGGGAGTGAGAGACGCCTCCTGGCGGGAACTGGCGGCTGTGGACCTCGGCAAGTGCAGAGGGGAAGAGAGGAGCTGGGCGGGGAGCGAGGAGGTGGGTTGGCGGCTGGCGGGACTGTCTCTTTAAGGTGCCGGAGACTCGCGGTCGCTGCGCGGAGGGGACGGCGGGAGGCGCGGCCTGGCCTCGCACTCACAGTCGCCGCTGCGCTCCCCGGGCTCGGTGGACCCCGCGGAGATCTAGGGGCAGGCGACCTCGCCGGGCCGCGGCGCATGGTGAGCGGGAGCGGCGGGGGAGTTGTGCAGCCTCTTGGCCGGGAAGGGGCCGGGCGCGGAGCTCGGGCTTCTGGAGGCTGGGGCCCGCGGCGAGCTTCGCGGGAGCCGGGAGAAGCCTGGGCCCGGCTGAGCGGAGGACAAAGTGGGGGCTCTGGGCGCGCGCACACAGGCCGGACGCCGGGATCCCGCAGCATCTCTGCCCCACCTCGGTCCAGACCATCTCTGGGCCGGCTAGCGTCCTTCGCAGCCAGCGTCAGCCGAGCCGGGGTGCGGGTGATACCGGGTGCCCGGACCCCCGCGCTGCCGCTGGCCTCTGCGTCGCCGGGCGTCCGGCGCCTTCGGGGCCCTGGCACCGCTCTACAGAGACTCTGCTCTGTCCTGGTTGCTGTCAGTGCAGTCTCCTTAACGAGAAACTGGGTGTGATGTATGCGAAACAATTTTGATGCATGACGGTTTCTAACTACTTAGGAAAAAAATAAGTCCTTTAATTCTGTTACCTGATTTGGACATAGCCGAAGTTACTTTAGTACTTTTTCCAGTGAGATTTGGGTAGTAAGATGAATTTATGGAACGCTTTATAAGACAAGCATGAAAGATGGGGGAAACCCAGTTTTCGTGGTTGTAGGTTGAAAACTAGTTTCACAAAAATTAGTTTCCAAATACCTTCTTTGGCCTCCACAAATATGTACTGGTTGCTCCAGAAATCATCCTACTTGGTATGCGGCGTTAAATGCATTAGAAAATTAGGTTACTAACGGTCTTTAGGGAATGCTTTGTGAGCTTCAGTAACGATCGCCAGGGCTTTCTCTTTCAAAATTGACTCATACTGGGTCCAAAGCCCTTTATTCTTTTCACTCTTTTATTGTTTTTCCTTTAATGTACTTTGTAGCACTTAGAATAAAAGTTTAGAGTAATCATAAATGCCCCCATAAACTCACTATTTATCCCTCTTACATCAGTAGTCATTTATTATATTTGATGGGACGGTGTTTTAACCTGACAAAATGATATCATCTTTAAAGTTTAATAGCTATGTTTACTGTTTGGTCCCTGTCAGACTGTATTTGTGCTAGTCTTTTTCCTCCTTTTTGAACTGTAATGTCTTCTTAATAACTTTGAAGAATGCATGGTGCTAATAGGATTAAAAGACTATCTTGGCCAGGCGTGGTGGAATTAAAATTCTAGCTCTTTCGGAGGCCGACGTGGGTGGATCAACTGAGGTCAGGAGTTCGAGACCAGCCTGGCCAACATGGTGAAAACCCATCTCTACTAAAAATACCAAAATTAGCCCGGCATGGTGGTAGGCGCCTGTGATCCCAGCTACTCAGGAAGCTGAGGCAGGAAAATTGCATGAACCTGGGAGGTGGGTTGCACTCTAGCCTGGGCGACAGGGCGAGACTCTGTCTCAGGAAAAAAAAAAAAGAGATCTTAACACTGTAATAATTACCCAGAGTTCTTAATGCAATTAATAATTTACACTGCCTTTTGTTATTTGCTCAATTATTTAAGAAGTGACTCTGTGGACTCTACTTCTCGCTTTGAGCTGCTTTATTCTGTCTAAATGATCCTAGAATAATTTCCATTTAACATTTTGTTTTAATTCTAAGAATTAAAATTAAATATCTTAAAATTATAATACAATATTAATTGTTTTATATGGGCTTAGTGTTGAATAATGGACCTGAAACTCAAGTTGAATAGTAGCAATACAATATTGAAACTAGTTTTTTGCCTGATAGACTCTCAAATTACTCAGGGTTTACATATATTTACTCTGCTTTCATAGTCACCATTTCTGGATAGTCTGAGGAATTTTTGTGTTCTAGGTCCTTTAAGATGACTATGAAGCCATTATTATATAAAATCATTATTTTTGAATGTTTATGTAATCTTTCATTGAGAGTGATCTTTAAATGATCACTCAAAAGTTTTTTGAAGGCCAGACATGGTGATATTGTCCGTAGTCCCAGATAACTGGGAGGCTGAAGAGGGAGGATCACTTGAACCCAGGAATTCGAGGCTGCCGTGAGCTATGATCACACCACTATACTTCAGTGGTCCTAATAGAATTAGAATGTGTGGTACTAATAGAATTAAAAGAATATTTTGGCCAGATGCGGTGGCTCACCCCTGAATCCCAGCTCTTTGGGAGGCTGAGACACTAAAAAAGAAAGACAAAGTCTATTGACACAAACAATGAGTCTTAGTTTGTTTTGTTTTTCATTTTTGTATTTATTTTTACTCTAGCACTTGCCTTTGAATTAAGGTTGTCTTTGTTTGTTTGTTTGTTTGTTTAGCTTCCTGAGAGTTACTGATCATCTTCTTTGAAGAAACATGAAGTCACCCTATGTGGCTGTGCTTACTCTAGCCATCCTGATGTTCCTAACATGGCTTCCGGCATCATTGAGCTGTAACAAAGCACTCTGTGCTAGTGATGTGAGCAAATGCCTCATTCAGGTAGGACTAAGAGTACTTTTTATTAATATTGAAATATATTGTACAGCAGAAACATTGTGTTTATATACAGATATAGAGTGTGTATATCATATAGAGTAAGACCTGAGAATTGGGTCAGGGCCTGAGGTACTGAATCATGACACACAGGTTTGGATTTTTAACCTCACAGCAAACATACATATAGGCAAGGTTAGATTCAAGAAGTTCAATACTGAGTATAATATCCTGCTCTATAAGCATATCATTATAAGATGATGAGCACTCTATTCGGATGATTTAAAGGGTTCCCTTGTGTAATCTAATTAACATAGCAAAGAGGTTCAATGACTGTATTTAGACAAAAAATTAGCTGGTCAAATAATAGATAAATTGTACCCTAAGTATGATATATTAGACATCTATTGCTGTGTAACAAATTAGCCCAAAACATAGCAACTTAGTGCAATAAACATGTATTATTTCATGCAGTTTCTGAGAGCCTGGAATCTGGGAGCAGTTTAGCCAGGTGGTTCTGGCTCAGGGTCTCCCATAAGGTTGCAGGCAAGTTGTTGGCTGCAACTGGACAGTCTACTTCCAAGATACTTCATAGTTATCTGTTCCAATCATCAAGGCAAGCCTCTTAATGTAGCCACCACTCTCATTTTTCTGTGGAGAAAAGTAAGAGTAAGTGATTTGGCTAAGTTACCAGGCTGGTATTGAGCTCCTGATTAGCATCCCTTCTACTTACTGGCTATGTGCTCAGAAATTCAGTAACCACACACATTAGCATTCTTTGTAAAGTATGAGTCAGCTAATGGGACTGTAACCCTCATTTGAGAGTAATTGTGTATATGTGCTAGAGTGACAATTATTTTTATACATCAGAAGCATTTTGTGCTTATTTCTGACATTTTGGTCCTTCTTAATAATAGTTGGAATTCTACTTGCTCCCGTTTCCTACTCTGATAACCCTTAATTTGCATTTCAAACCAAAACATTTAACTAGAGAAGCCTGTTTGTTGTTCAGTTTTTAACTTTTTTACTGTGGACATTATTAAGTATAAAAGGAGAAGAATATAATGAACCAGCCATAAGCAGTTATTGCAGTCACTACTTCATGGCTACCCTTATTTTACCTATACCCTCCTACACTGTCCACTCCCAGCTCTGTTTTAATTTCAAGCAAATCTCTTTATACTGTTTTGTCCCTAATACCGATATGCATCTCTAAAAGACAACTCTTTACCAACACAGATATTAGACCAATTTTACAGTATGAAAATTAACATTAATTCTTTAATCACCTAATTCTGTATGTGGAAATCTCAATATGGCATGCCTGCTTAGGCTTGTGTTGGCTGGAAACTTTGTGTCTGCACATGAAGCCCAGTTTTGTGCTAAGGTCAGATGAGGAGTCTCTGCTACCTCCCAGGTTGTTTCAATGTAACTTCATTACTCATTATTCAAAATAAAGTCTCATAACATTTGCTATATTCATGTTTAGATGGAAATTCTCTTAAATCCCAATTATTTTTCTGATTCTTCAAGTCTGTAACTTGCATTAGTTCAAGTTATTAAAAATTGTACTTTGGCCAGGCACAGTAGCTCACACCTCGTAATCCCAGCACTTTGGGAGGTTGAGACAGGAGGATCATTTGAGCCCAGGAGTTTGAGACCAGCCTGGAAATCATAGTGAGACACTGTCTCTATAACAGATAACTTTTAAAAATTAGCTGGGCATGATCATGTGCACCTGTAGTCTCAGCTACTTGGGAGACTGAGGCAGGAGGATCACTTGAGCCTGGGAGGTCAAGGCTGCAGTGAGCTCTGATTGTGCCATTGCATTGAAGCCTGGGTGACAGAGCAGGAGCCTGTCTCAAAAAAAAAAAAAAAAAAAATTTTTGACTGGGCACCTTGTGGCTCACGCCTGTAATCCCAGCACTTTGAGAGGCCAAGGCAGGTGGATCACCTGAGGTCAGGAGTTCAAGACCAGCCTGGCCAACATGGTGAAACCCCATCTCTACTAAAAATACAAAAAATTAGCTGGGCACGGTGGCGCATGCCTGTAATCCCAGCTACTCAGGAGGCTGCGTCAGGAGAATTGCTTGAACCCAGGAGGCAGAGGTTGCAGTGAGCCGAGATCGCGCCATTGCACTCCAGCCTGGGTAACAAGAGTGAAACTGTCTCAAAAAATAAAATTGCTTTATTTAAAATACTTTGCTTTTAAAGGGAGCATTTAAAGGACAGAGCTTTTGGTTAATTTTGGTAGATACTGTCAAAGGTTTTTTGGTTTGACTCTTCAACAAATTTTTTTTTTGGCTCTATTACATCTTATTACAGCCTCAACTTCCCCAGCTCCATCAATCCTTTCATCTCACCCTCTCGAGTAGCTGAGACTACAGTGACACAGCCTCATGCCCAGCTAAATTTTTTTTGTATTTTTGGTAGAGATGAGTTTTTGCCATATTGCCCAGTCTGGTCTTGAACTTCTGAGCTCAAGCGATCTGCCCACCTCGGCCTCCCAAGTGCTGGGATTACAAGTGTGAGCCACTGTGCCTGGCCAATTACAAAAATTAGCCAGGCATGGCAGTGTTTGCTTATAATCCCAGCTACTTAGGAGGCTCAGGCAGGAGAATCACTTGAACCCAGGAGGCAGAGGTTGCAGTGAGCCGAGATTGAGCCACTTGCACTCCCACTTGGGCAGAGCAAGACTCCGTCTCAAATAAAAAAAAAAAAGAATGAAAAAATTGTAAGACTTAAACAAAATACTTCGAAATGTAAAGATCAGTATAGAAACACTGGAAAAGCAAGTGGAGCTTCACCTTACTCAAATGGTGATTCTAGTAAACAAAATAAGCTAGGAGGTGTTTTCAGACACAAATTCATGAATGTTGACATTTTTGAGATTCCTGTTGTTCTTTCAGAACTAGGAAACATCAAACTTTTTTTCTGGAGTAGAGGACACAACTTTCCTGGTGGATGATAGTAGACTAGTTGGAGTTAGAAAAGAGCTAGGGCTCAAATATTGAGAAGTTCCTTGTTTGTTTATTCACAAACATTTATTGGGCGTTGAAGTGAAATGTGATTAGTTCTACTCTTCACCTGATTTTGTGGACTTCCAAACTGTAGCAGATTACTTCACATTCTGAGCTTTAGTTTCCGTGTGTTCATCTTACTATGGCTGTGTGGCAAACCACCCCAAAAAGCAGTGGGTGAAAACACATTTATTTTGCTCACGGATTGGCATTTTGAGCAGGGCTCTGTGGAAGAGTTCATTTCTGTTCCACCTGGCATTAGCAGGGCAGCTGGAAGGTGGTGAGGATGGAATTATCTAAAATAGCACTACAGATAGAGCTTTCTGCAATGATGGAAAAGCTTTACATCTATCCTGTGCAATACAGTAGAATCTAGCCGTATGTGGCTATCAAGTACTTGAAATGTGACTAGTATGATTGAAAATCTGACTCTAAATTTAATTCAATCTTAATTTCATTAGCTGCATAGCTGCATGTGACTAGTGGCCACTGTATTGGCGTTGAGAATCTGAAGGCTCATTGATAAGTCTGATACCTGGGCTAGGAAGATTCTTCAGGTATACGTCTCTTCCTGACTTCTCCTCCCCTTCCTCCCTTCTATATCCCCATCTCCCTCCCTCTTTCCCTTTCACTCTGCGTGTGTGTGTGTGTGTGTGTGTGTGTCTGTGATCCTGCTAAATGACCTCTCCTGTGGGTCCACCAGGATTTAAGTGGAGGGAACATAGGTCCCACCTTTGTTGGAGGAGTGACAGTGTCATGTTGTAAGAACATGTGGATGGGATATAATGGTGTGGCCATCTGTAGAAAATATAGTCTGCCACATATAAACTGTAAAGTGAATTGGCTGGCTAGGTGATATCAAAAATATTCTTCTAGTTCAAGGCAGTTTTAAAGAAAGAAATCATCTAGTATGTGTCATGTGTCAAATGTTCTCTTTTTTTATCAGAGTAATAAAATTATTAAATTATTAAAAGGATACATACTGAAAAATGAATCCCTTGATCTAATTCTCCCTACTCATTCTGTTACCCTGGGAATCTAACTGCTTATATTTTTACTTCTGATAGTAATTTTTAGCCATATGGCTAAATAATACACTTATACTACTGTTTCTTCATTTATCAGTTTTAGATGTTATTTTTCTAAAATTGCCTTCCTGCTGTAAGAGATAAGGTCGTAGCTCACCATGCCCTTCTTCCCACTCCTGCCCTGCCACACTTGTATCACTGTTTATCTTTTGGTTACTTTTTCAATTTCTTCAATATATTCAAGCCTTTCTATTCTATTCTATCAACTGGAGACACTATCTCTTTATTCCCGATGTAAAGGGTTTGTTTGGACTCCAGTCTTGGGTGATCATGTGAATCTACCATGATTAACATTGTAGAAAGTAAAGAAATCAGTTTTCTCCCTTGCATTTATGAGTACTACCCTCAAAATTTTCTACTTTTGGCATTCTGTTGGGCTACTTTTGGAATTTTGATGGGTTGCATGAAAATCTGTGGGGAATGGAGTGTTATCTGTATTTTTACTTTTTATATTGTCAGGGTGGTTAACATCTATATTCTGAGAGGCTGCATAGTATAATGGTTAAGAGCATGAACTCTGGAACCAGGCTATCTCAATTTGAATGCAGTTCTTCCACTTTCTAGTTGTATGACCTTGGGCAAGTTAGTTAATTTCTCAATGCCTCAATTTCCTCAGCTATAAAGTAGGGATAATAACCATACTGTACAAATATTGTGAGGATTAGGTGTAAAGTATTTAGAGCAATGCCTGGCACATGCGTGCTCTATCAGTAATTACTAACCTTATTTCTCTGTTTTGTAACTGTATTTGAATCTTCTATGCTTTATTTACAGATATATTCTAAAACTGAGAATCAATAAACCATGTTTATATTATAGTGATTATATAAATATTGTTGACCATTGACTGTATAGTCACATAGATACTATGATTACATTTCCCTTCTTGAATGTGATT